TTGATGACCTGTTAAAATGAAGCAGAATGCAAAGTCCAGGACCAGAAAAACACAGATCTAACTGGAGAAGCAATATTTATACCTGTCAATCAACTTTTAAGAATTATCACCATATCTTAGTCAACTTTTGATTCTCCTATGTGTCTGGGAATGCCAAAGGTGTTCAGAAATGTCTCATTAGCTTTAATGCTAAATTAGAAGTAGATTTAAATGTGAAGGAAGCATGATATTAAATATAGCCAGGTTTACCCATTGCCTGTGGACCCTATTTCTGAAAGAGAATTAAGTTGAGGTCCCAGGGAAATGAGTCTTCACATCCACAAGTAAGCCCTTAACCTTTTATCCATGGATGGAATTTGGAGATCTAACTAAAACAGTATCATATGTGTGAGTATGTGTGTGTGTGTGTGTGTGTGTGTGTCTAGATACACAAAAGTTTATTCACACATATATGTATATTGGGATATAAATTGCATCTGTGTGTTTATATTTGTGTATATATAGATAAGTATATATAAAATATATATTTGGTTTTGGGAGAGTTTACAACTTTCATTAGGTTCTCATGGTGAGAGTGTAAATTAGAGCAACCTGTCAGGACAATTGGGCCATACTAATACATTTATATACTTGTCATATATTTTGACCTAAAATGTTTCTCTAAGGAACTCATCATGCAGTTATATAAACATATACTAAAATAAGTCTGTAAATTATATTAATTACATGATTGCTTATTATAGCAAATGAATGAAAACAATATAAATGCCCAAAAATAGAATAATGGGAAAACCAAAGTATGATATAACTGTGTCATGTTGTATCATAGGGATACTAAGAAGAGGTAGACCCTCTTTTATGAACCAATATCAAAATATTTCCAACCTATATTGCTTAGTGAAAGAAAAGGTACAAGTCAAAGTGAATGATATACACCATTTTGTCTTTTTGAGAAGTGTATGAATTGGTATGTGTGCACTCAGGTGCTTGTATATGCAGAGAAACACTGGAAACAAGGAAACTGCTAACAGTAATAGCTACTGGGTAGGGAATTGAGAGGGTGGTGGGAAGACTTATTTTTTCACTATGTATCTTTTTTAAGAGTTAGAAGTTTTAGCCTATCTTTTATGTCCTTACAGAATATATTAATTTTTTTTTTTTAAGTAATATGGCTTAAAGGTTTTGTACCACCACATACCTCTAAACTAGGGATTTAATAGCACTGGATCCTCCCAATGCACCAATCCATGAGGTGTTATGGATTATAAGCTATAAGGAGAGTTCTCACTCAGGAAAGACTTTTTTTTTTTTGACCAATGTAAAAACTCAGAATAGGCTATTTCATCATTAGTGTTTCAAAGAGATTAGAATCAAAGCTTTGGTAAAAGTTTTATGACCATAGAAAAATACCATTACTACATTGAATCTTATTCTAAAATCTGATTGAGGCTTTAAAGTGTCCTATAAGCATAAACTATAATGGATAGTTGTAATGTAATTGAAAGTAATTGTGATTTTATTCAAAACAAGTGTTGTTTACAATGGATTTTCGATGTTTTTCCTCCCATAGAAGCTTTTCAAATAAGATACTGTTACATGTATTTTGGACCTGTAGTTAATTATATTCGTGTAGTATAATGAATCTCTGTGTGTGTTTCTTTCAGAAATAAATGCAATTCCTTTGGGATGCTGAGGCATTGCCTCTGTCAGTCCAATTCTAAGTTAGCTATATGCTCACATAAAATAGAGCAAAATACATTAGAGTGACAGAAACAACTCAAGTTTCTATCATATGTAAAAAAAAAAGCACATATATATTTGTGAATATACATATATATACTCAAGCTTATATAGAATAAAAGTAACATAATAGATTAAAATATGTGGTTAATTTTGTTAACTGTAGTAGATATCAGATTCAAAATAATGTGCACTTGTAGACACATGGTCATAATTTTACAGTAATTTGGTGAATTAACTTGTTTGGTCGTGTGGTTTTTTGTTTGCCTAATGTCATTTTGGAAGTAGAGCCACTAAAAATGGTCATAGTAGTTTTCTTTCCATGCAAGGTTGTCTCTTAATTATATTTTTCTTTGTTTTATGTTGTCAAATGTTTTGCCATATTTTTGTATATGCTTATGACTATAAACACCTTAAAATAAAATTCAAATCAGCCTTACCATTTGACTGGAGGTTTATGAAATAATGAACTTGCCAGTGTGGTGGTTGGTATTATGAAAAAATTTGATTGACTACTTAGTATTTTAACATTTGCACTTTTTCATTCATTTTGAGAGCTGTTAACCAGTGGGTATTTCCATTATCCTTATGTACTTGTGGTGTGTCCCTCAGAAATTCAGATGAAAAGGAAAACATTCAGTAAAGTACACATTTTTGGTGCCATGGAGTTACAACCTAATGTTTTTGAGAGTTAATTTGCTAAAAATCAAACAACAGTGCCATTGTTTATGTGTAAAAGTCCATTAATATGGACCATTTTGACCCAGCCATCCCATTACTGGGTATATACCAAAGGTTATAAATCATAAAGACACGTGCACTATGTATGTTTATTGCAGCACTATTACAATAGCAAGACTTGAATCACCCAAATGCCATCAGTGACATGACTGGATAAGAAAATGTGGCACACTATACCCATGGAATTCTGTGCAGCCTATAAAAGGATGAGTTCATGTTCTTTGTAGGGACGTGGATGCAGCCTGGAACCCCATCATGCTCAAGCAAACTATCGCAAGAACAGAAAACCAAACCACCACATGTTCTCACTCATAGGTGGGAATTGAACAGTGAGATCACTTGGACCAGGAAGGGAAACATCACACCACCGAGGCCTATTGTGGGGAGGTGGGGAGGGGAGGGATGCATTAGGAGATATACCTAAGTAAATGATGAGTTAATGTGTGCAGCACACCAACATGGCACATGTATACCATATTAACAAAACCTGCACGTGTGCACGTGTACCCTAGAACTTAAAGTATAATTTAAAAAAAAGGAAATCCCTGTTAATTCCAGATTATAAATAAAATTGATCTTTTGAGTGTTAAAAAAAAAATACCTGTAACCTACCACACATTATAGCTCAGGCTACATTTTAAACATGCTCAGAACATTTACATTAGTCTATAGTTAGACAAAATCATCTAACACAAAGCCTACTTTAAAGTATTGAATATCTCACATAAGTTATTGAATACTGTACTGAAAGTGAAAAACAATGGTCGTATGAGTACTCAAAGTATGATTTCTACTGAACTCATCACTTTTGCACCATTGTAAAGTCAAAAAATTGTAAGTTGAACCATCATGTATCAGGGACTATCTGTACATTACCCATGTCAATGGCAAATAAGACAAAACTAATTGATTTTTGCTGTTGAAATGTATTTTTGTTCACAAATCCCTCCATCTTGACCATAGTCACCATTGAATCTCAAGTGAGCATAAACTAAGAATACATCTGTAATTATGGGTTGAATTTTGCATGAGCTACAGGAGGCAGCCAGGTGGGGATACCCACTGTTCTGGGGGCAAGAGACACTGGTTTTGATTTTTGTAGCGATATTAAGATCAAATAGCTGAGGGATTTTTTTTTTCTTTTTGGAGCCCGGGTTGTGGGGGAGAGAAAGTGTAGGGTGGGAAAGAGATAAGAAGATGGGGGAAAGTGGATGGGGAGCTGATGATAACTTAGAAATTGGAGTTTCATAAGTAAAAATGCTGGATTTTATTCAACCAAAAAAAAATGTTGCCGTGTAATAACATTCCAAGGTTTTTTTTCATAGACATCTCTAATAGGAAACCCATATTCCTGTGATGTTCTAAGAGAGAATTGTTTTAACTCCTGATTATACCTGCCAATTTACAGAGTATGCTAGAACATTGCCCTAACTTCTGCAGTTGAGTGCACAGCTGGCTAAGATGCTGGTGTTCAAGTACAGAACTAATGACCAGCTTGAGGTTGTCAAATCTAGTGTTACCCTCTCTCAAAAGCTGCAGACTTCTGTATGCTAAGCTTCTTATGTTATCTCTATTTTAAACGGATGGCTGAGTAATCATTTGGGTTTATGGTGTTTCAGGTGGTGCTTTTCTTATGGTGATTTTCCTAATGTTTACTTCCTACTTGGGTAAGTACTAATTAGTAAAAAGTTTATATTCCACATTTTTATGGATTTCATGTTATACTTAAAGTATGTCAGGATCATTGGCCATTATAACAGGATTCTTTTTTTTTTTTCTTTTAAATACAACGTTTAATCATCTGGTTGATCAGGAAATACAATGCTCAGTCTAGAAACAGCAGCAGAAATAGCGAGAGACATGGGACTTTTATACAAAAAAATTTGTTGCTTACAAAACATGCAAAAAAAAGCTTTTAAAAAAAAAACCAGAGACCAAAGGCAGCATCCTTGCTAATTTTCATCTACATTAAGAAAAAAAAAAATCTTATAACTAATATTCTTTTTATTTTCCTTAACAAAAAATATTAGGCTTAGGCACAATTTGCTGGTGGCTTTTGAAGCATAAGCCAGGTCTCCACAGCATCTCCCTGGAGTGATATGTTTCCATTTCTCCACTTTTTATAGTTAAGGCGTTTTTTTCCTTTTCTGACAAAGTATGTTTTGTTGCTTGATGTCAGGTTTTGTTTACTGGAGAAAAAAAAAAAAGGTCCTGTCAGCCCAGGCAACAGGGCCAAGATGCAGTTTCAGGATCCATGGGGCAAGTCACAGGGTGACACGGTGACTGAGATTCGGGGACGGGGAGCAAGGCCAGGGAGGGGTGGGTCCCAGGGAGCTCCTGGACCCAGCGTCACCTTGGTCGCCCCCATCACTCCGAACCTCGTCAGGTTGGTGTTGGCTCCATGCTGACAACAGGTGTGTGAGGTGTGGACGTGGACGAAGCCTGGGGTCTCAAGTGGCTGTTCTGGGCCCAGCGCACAGGGCTGAGAGTGGGTGGCTCGTCCCACGGAGGCATACCTTTCACATGTGCCCGGCAGGGTTGTGGGTTTCGCTCAGACCGGGGTGGGCAGCTGAAAACACCATCTGGGGGTCTCCGACCACGCCCAACACCTTTTCCTCTTCTCGCTGTTTCAAACAGGCTGCTTTGGGATTCAGGTTCCACTCTGGCACTTGCTGCTCCAAGTTCGGGATGACCCAGACGGCCTGGTGCAGCATGAGCAGTTTGGTCTGGGGCTTCTCGCTGTTGAGGTGCAGCTGGCACATGCGCCCCAGCTCCTTAAAGGCCTCCTTGATGTCACGGACCCGCAGCCACTCCCGGGCGTTATTGGCCGTCGGGCGCTCCTTCTCCCGCTCCGCCTTCTGCTCTGGGGGGAGAAGGTCGTCCTTGTCCTCGTCTGGGCTGGTCCGGGCAGGGGGGGCCTTCAGCTCCTCCTCCTCCTCCTCTGAGTGGTCAGCCGCCGACGTGTTCTCCTCATCCTCCTCCTCCTCCCGCTTGATCTCGCCAGCAGCGGCTGTGGCACCTGCTCGTCCTAGCCCACTATAAGAGTCGGGAGGCCGAGAGAGGTCGGGGAGGACGCCTGGCTGGCTGGGGAGGGCCGCGTGGTTGTGCGTGAGGCTGGTGCTGCCTGCAAGGCCATCCTCGGGATGTCTGCCTCCAACAAGGCCTGCGTGCCGCGCGCCCAGCGACATGGGGCTGGCGAAACCCGAGGCCAGCACCCGGTGGCCAGGTAGCAGCGTGTGCATGTCGCCAACTGTGCCCACGGCGTGGCTGCGGAGCACGTGGATGGCCTCGTCCAGGTGGTGGTCTATCTTACTCTGCAGGCCGTGGAGATTCCCGTCGTAGGTGGGCGATAAGGCACCCGGGGCTTCTGCTGGAGTCCACTGCGACCTCCCTGCCAGGCCCTGAGGGGAGCCCACCGGGGTGGAAGGGCTGGACGAGAAGTTATTGCTTGAGTGATCCGGCGAGTAGATCGAAGCCAGTGCTTTCCCGAGGGCATCCCCGGAGCTGCCGGCTGTGGTCCCTCGGGAGCCCAGGAGGCTGTCGGCGCCGCTGACAGGCGGAGTGTGGCTGGAGACGCCACCGTATGTGGCTCCGGGGCCGAGGAGAAGGAGGATGCAGCCGGGAGCCCACCGTTCACCTCTGCTCCGTGCAGCTGGTAGCCCATGCGCTCGTGCTGGTGCAGGCCAGCAAACGTGCTGCTGCTTCCACTGATGCCCACCGGGCCGCTGTCGGGCGGGAGGGGCAGGGGGGATGAGCCCCCACCCAGCATGGGCCCGAAGCCCGCCTGGCCCGGGGGACTCCAGAGCTCGGCTGAGGGGTACAGGCTGCCATCTGCCATGTAGAAGGGGGCGGGATAGGCGCTGCTGGGAGTCCTGGAGGATGGGTAGGCGGCGGCATCCCTGCCGTAGTCCTCACCTGAGCTGGGCGGGTACACCGGGAATCGGAGACCCCGCGGGACCTTCCGGACCTTCTTGGGCTGCGTGTCTAGGCTGCAGTCTGCCGCTCTCCGCCGGGAGCTGCCTGAGTAGGAGGGGTAGTACTGGGAGGTCCTCTTCATGCCCGAAGGGGACAGGGGCCCGGGGCTGCTGAGGGCCAGCTCGCCCCACAGGAAGCCAACCTGAGTCAGGCCGCCCACGCCTGCGTCTCTCCCGAAGGAGGCATAGGCACCCCGCTCGCTGCTGTTGCCTGAACCTGCGAACTGCGCCCCGGCCAGGGAGGCAGACCGGTCCTTCCGGTTGGTGACAGGCAGCGGGAACATCATGCTGAAGTCTAGGAGGTTACTGAGCTCCTTGTCTGTGCCCACAGGCGCCATCCTCTGCGGCTGGTTCATTCTCCTGGGGCCAGGGCGGGCACCTCAGGCCTGAAAACCTGCCTGGGTGCGGCCGGGCACGCGGCGCGTGGGGCGGTGGCAGAAGCGGGGCCACCCCCCGGACAAAGGGGCGTCGGCGGCCGGCCCCGAGGGTCGCCTGCGTGGGCGGCGGCGGCGGCGAGCGTGGCGGGCCTCCCACCCCGCATGGCCCGTCCCGCGGGGCCGTGCGCGCGGCCGCGGGGCGCCCCTGGGGCAGTGGCGTGCACGGTGCCCGCGGTGCCCGCCACCGCTTTGGCTGCGGCCCGCTAGGCCCGCAGCCACCGCCGCCTATAACAGGATCTTGAGGCCACAAATAATCTTCAACAGTAGAATGGCTGAATAGTTGAAAGGAGAAATCATTTTTTGGTTTTTATTTGAGATAACATTTTTTAAATTTGGTATTTGAATAATATGAAAAGCACTAGTCAGAACTTTTCCATTTGGGTGTTTTGATTTTGATCGGTAGTTTTCAGTCTTGACAATACATTGATGTCTCCGAGGGAATCATGCTTGATCCTACTCCCCAGAGACTCCGATTTAATTAGTCTTGTGTGTGGCCAGGTTATCTGGGTGTTTAAAAGCTTCTCAGGTAATTCCCAATCTGTGGTCAAGACTAAGAAAATTACTATAGATAATTTTAGTTCTTAAATTTTGTTCTTAAATTTTGAACAGCTAGGTTAAACCGACCAGTCTGTTCAAACAAAAACCTGTAAGCACATTTTAAATAGTAGAGCAAGTTGTTTTTCTCTGTTGACGAGCTGTGAGATAAAATTTAACTGATGGTCAGTTCCAAAAAAAGCTATTTTGTAAAGTGACTAGTTCCTGAGAATTTATTATTCTCAGAAAGTAATAACTAGTTTATCATGCAGAATATATTTTAGTTGATGAACTGCTCTTGAAAACAAGACAGAAGTAAATTCAGCTGATTCTTGAACAATGTGAGGACTGGGGTGCCTGCTCCCCACACAGTCGAAAATTCAAGTATAATTTCTGACTCCCCCAAAACCTGACTACTAATGACCCACTTTTGACCAATAGGCCTTACCAATAACATAGTCAATTAGACACATATTTTTTATGTTATATGAATTATATTTTGTATTTTTACAGTTAAAGTAATCTACGATGATAAGAAATAATAAAAAGAAAACAAAAGGAACGTATATTTATTATCTATATTCTATAGTAGTTGTTATCTTCTATGATTATGTGTCTCTCTTATCCTATCATTTCTTTTTTTTTCTTTTTATAGGTTCTGTTATATGGTTGTGTATTGTGTTATATGTGTAAAGAGGATAGTTGGCCTTATTGTCTCAGGGGTGGCCAGACGGCATGAAGAAATTGCATATAAGTTGATGCAGTTCAAACCACCTGTTGTTTCAAGAGTCAACTATGGATTTCAATATTTCAAGTGTACTAAGAACTATTTTATTGCAGCTTGTTGAGCGAGATTCAATGGATTTTTTTATTTTCATGAGATCAAATGTTATTTCATTTTTTCTCCTAATAAAGATTATACTATTCCTCTTCCTGTCTCAGAGACTATTTTCGTGGAAATTTTTACCCAAGGTTTTTAATCTTGATTCGAATTCAGCCGTTGTCTAGTTAACTCAAATTCTGGTTTCCAAGGCTACCACAGGTTTTTAAATCTTTGCTCTGGGTCAGTGGAAGTGGTGAAGAAAATAAGATGACTTTAATTCTTTCTGGCCACCTCTAGTGATAGGAAATTGAACCCTAGAAATTAGATTTGCTATCCAACTAACTTTTCCTTGTTGCTGTGAAAAGTATCATCTTCAGTTGGTCATTCATCTAGATCCATTTTTTTTTTTTTTTTTTTTTTTTTTTTACAGATTGATTTCTGTTCAAATTTGATCGGTTTGGCTAGTATGGCTGTAGATCACTCTTTTTGGATTTTTTGGAGCAAAAGGCAAATTTGAAAGCCTTTTTATGAAGATTAGAGGGATAGGAAGGCATTCACCCACCAAGAAAATATTAAAACAAGGGGGGCAATTTCTAAATTGCAGCAAAGGGACATGAGGTTTGGCCAATAGGAAAGTGTTTTATAGCAACCAATAGCCACAAAGTTTGTAACGTAATTAGTCTATGGGCTATAAAAGCTTAGATGAATTTTAACTGTTGGGTAGCCACATCCCAAATCCAGATTCTATGGTTCCTTTTCCCATTAAATGTATTTAAAAGATTAAAAAATTTAACATGTAGTAACACATACATTTTGCTTTTATTTTTCATCCATTTCCTTCCAATCTAAAAAAATGTGTTAACCCATAATCTATTCCTTGTCGAACAGCAGTATTTATTAAGGCCCCTTACTGCATGACTCTAGGCTCTGGGAATTAATTAGGTCACATCAGTGAATTCTGTTAATAAACTATTTCTTAGAGAAATTTTTAAAAATAATTTATGGGCTACAACGTGGCAGGTTTTTGCTTACATCCAATATATTGCGTGTTGTGGTTACATTTTTATACATAAGAAATATATTCAATGAAAATTTCTCTTTACTTTTTCAGTAGCCGATTATGTAAATATTTATGCACGTTACTTCCCAACAGCTATTTTTTTTCATCCCCAAATGTCTGCCTTTTAATAATGTCCCTGTGGAAGTAGCACTCTATATTTGGAGCCATATTCCCACATGTTTCCATCTGCTAGTCTACAGCCCAGATTCATCTTTCTGGAAGCTTAGCTCCCAGGGATCAGCTATCTCCTACCTCACACATGAGCTCTGGCTTCCCACCAACAGCAAAACTAAAGTCATGCTTTGGCTGGCCATCACCAGATGGATAAAGTCTTCCAGCAGCTGGGAGCCCAACAACTCTTTCAAATTTACCTTCGGCCTAATTCCCTGCACCTGTACAGGCTGGGTTGTGTCTGGTATAGGTGGCGCAATACATTTAAGTCATCATGTTCTGACTAAGGAAAACTCAGAAAAACCAAAGGAAAATGACTTAAAATACGGTGTTTTTGATTTAGATAAAAGAGTAAATGTGTCTTAGCGCTAATATTTAATCCAATGTGGGCTAAAATTAGAACAGTTCCATCTATTATCTTAAATAATTATAATATGAGAGTATTATACATATATGCCTCATTTTCCTCTAATTTCATATTCATAACAATGTTTTATCAATATCTTCATGCTTATCTTCCAGATAAGTCACTCTGTCACTGCGCTTTGTAGTTATTAATTTCCCAGTTCACTTTCAGTATCAGGTTAGTATATTATTTCTAACCAAGGTTTGTTTGACGTGTATGGCACTCTTTGGATCTCTTCTGTGCTTGCTGTTTCAAGAAGTTTTATCCTGAACCGTCTAAGTACCTGATCTGCATATATTGAGGGGAAGATGGCCATTTATTTGCCCTGCGTGTATATTTATGATTCATTTTCTTTGGGTGATATTGGTGTTATAATGCTCCTTATTAATAAAGGTCTAGTGATTCAGGTGTTTGTTATGTATGGGTTGTATTTGTAATAGTGATGTATTAGTTTGTTATTTTATGTTTTTTGTTCTCTAATATCTAATTGTGTTCATTATTTGTGTGCTGTTCACCATATGTCTGTCCCGCCCTTCCCCCCCTCTTCCTCTGCTGTGTATTATATAATATATTAGTCGATAAAGTTTTTGCTCGTCTTGTTTTAATTGTTTTCTTGGTGGATGTGTATGTTTATATATAATTATATGGTATATAGCATTTTGGCGCAAAATCATGTTGTGTGGGTTCATGTTTTTATGGATATGTTATGTGTTGTGGTGAATGCTCATAATAAAAAAAAAATATCAAATTGTGAGAATTCAGTAATATTGTTATCTGTTATGGTGTTGGTATATTGTCTCTTATTATGTCTCTAAAAACGGTTCTTCCGTCGTGGTCGTATATTTTTCTTCTTTTTTATATTTTTATATCTTATATAGAATAACATGGGTGTATTGGTCTTTCATGATGTCCTATGCCCCCCTCCTCTTATTAATGGTCCACTTAATAATTTAATGTTCTGCTCTGTTTGTTTCTTCGTTCTAATTGTTTTTTGTTCTATTTGTGCGCTGGTTCATTCATCCCTATAAAACTCAAATACCAACAATTTTCCTATGCTAATATTGTAGTTATTCATATAAACATCCTCTTCCTCTATCAAACCCCAGGGATTTTGGGTGGGGAGAGGTAATGACTATACTTTATGGACTGTTTTAAAGCATGAATTTGAGAAAGATTTATTGAGCAAATAAATGGATGAATAAATGAGTATATTGGTAAAAACTAATTTATTGCCCATGATTTTTAGAAAAAGAGTCTAGGGAAAAATATTGATATGTCAAATATTACATACATTGCCATATTCAATCATAGTAATCAAGGAGGTGTTGCTACTGCCATCCCTGTTTTAAAGAGTAATTTGTCCTTAGTGAAATTACATAACTTTTCTGAGGTCACCAACATGATAAAATCAATCCCAGATTTGCCTATCCCTAGAGTGCATGCTCTTTCTACTGGTCTTTGAGCCTTCATGGTTTCTTTCCCTTGAGTAATCCCAAAAACTCTTAAGGCTCAACATAATGTCTATAGCTTCAAAATTTCCTAGAGACTCCTTGTTTCACAGGTAAAGTAAGCTGTAGACCGGGTACAGATCTATTGATACAAAAACATGTACCATTTACTGTGACATACGAGCCGCCTAAAGAAACCCAGATGGATATTTCACAGCATCTAATTCTATTAAACGGATTGCAGAAGAGTTAGGGTATGACAGTTTTAGAGATGTTGCATTTTTATAAAAGTAGAAGCCTTAGGACAGGAGAACTGCTATAATATGCCAAGTCTTTGGTGTATACTTCAGATGAAAGCAATTTATAATAAAATTTGAAAATGCTTCTGGGAAAATGTCAAAAAATAGTCTTCTAAAGACTACTTCTTTCAGATACTAGCCTTTGAACATCTACCGTTAGTGTCTGGAGTTTCAGAAATATTATTGATGCCCCTTCTCCCCTGGCAGTAAATATCCATGAGACAATTTAGTG